CGTGGATTTCCCCAGAACATGATTGTAGACGGCTGGTGTGAGTTCGGGAATAAAGAGTTGCTGTTTGAATCTACAAGCTGTGTGGTGGCTCGTGATTGTGTGCCCAGCCAGACTGCGGCATTTGTGCCCAGCCAGACTGCGGCTATTGGGATGCTGAATGACAGAGCATAAAACCCATCAGGCTTTTTGGTCAGACCACTGGCTATTTCCATGACTCCATCATCCTCTTGCCTGTGATGTAAGGGACATTACTTCTCCAGCTCGTTCCTGGGACATATATTGGATATAATAAGACTAACCACACAGGAATATGGGTAATTTTGAAGATAATGTAAGTGAAGCAACTGACATAGTAGGTGATTTTTAAAAAGAGACATATTATTACCAGCATATTTCTCTAATTTATTTATCTTTTTTTATTCCTCAAATCACTGCATGTGTAAGGCACGTCTATAGCACTTAACTGCAAGTGTGTGCTAATTAAAAAAGATGATTATGAACTATTTCAAACATACAGGAAATCATGGCAAATAATGTTTATCATCACCAATGTATATATTCATTTAAAATAGTATCATATTTTAAAACTTTGAAAATGGTATCAGGTTGTCTATATCATTTTATAATATACTCCCCCCTACACTAGTTATGTTTTCAAGATTTACCCAGGTTCATACATGTAGTTTTGCTGATTATTTAGAATATTCTATAGTGTTCCATTATATGAACCTACCATCATGTATTTCTGCATTCTCCTACTGAAGGTCACCTAGATTGTTTCCAGTTTTTCACTATTACAAAGAATATTACCATAAGCATTCTCCTTATATGTGCTTCTTTGGGTTTCTGTGAGAGTTTCTCTAAGGTAGAATTCTAGGTTCTTAGGATATGCCTCTCTTTAACATTGCTAGCCATTGCCAAATTGTGTTTCCAAATCACTCTAGTGTTTGTTGTTGTTGTTGCTTCTGTATATATATTTTTAGTTTCATTGCTGAGATACAGTTTACATACCATAAAATTTGCCCTGTAAATGGACAACTCAGTGGTTTCAGTGTATTTGCAGAGTTGTACAACCCTCCCACAATCTAATTTTAGAACATTTTTATGTGCTAGTGTTATTTATAAGTATAAATAAACATACAGAAATCTGTAAATCTGGTCATGTGTCCTGTACAATATACCCAATAAAAATCCCCCAGGAACAGCTAGTTTACTGAGATTTATTTGTTTTAAACCCGTAGTTTTGAACAAAATAGCTGGAAGGAACATTCCTAATTAGATTATGAAACTGCTTAAGTGCAGGTTCCTGTTATTTGCTAATTTTAAAAGCATTCCTATTTATTCACCTCAGCGTAAAATGACTCACAACCCATTTTGTTTGAAGAGAACGAGGAGAGTGCTATACTTAATAAAGAATAAATTTCCCCAGAACCATTCTTGCTCATGCCAGAAGGGAAGGGAGCTGTGAAAGAGGACAGATGTGGGAGTAAACAGTTGTGAGAGCCAACACACTGGCAAAGGAGGGAGACCCACAGTCTTTATTTTTATTTTTCACAAGTTAACCTGTTGGAAGTTTTAATCAAGTACTTTTCATGCTCTGAGTTATTACTAATGGTATTTTCAAATACTATTTACCCCCACTAAAACTTAATGTGTTAATTGTCAATGAGATTTGCCAAATATGATTTGGAATAACACACACACACACACAAATGTTGAAAAAAATATATATGTTATATAGATATGTAATACACATATGAATGTTGTTCTTACCCAGACTCTAAATGTTCAAAATTTTGAATATATATTTTTCCATTTGGATCTTATAAGGAACATCAGGTTTGTGGACGATGACATTGGTCCTCTTCTCTTCATTTTAATCATTAGCTGAAGGGCACCCATTTCCAGATGCTCTCATTAGTGCTTGGCAGATTTCTGAAATTTCCTTTTTGCTCTTCAGACCAGTAGGGAGGGTAAAGTCACATTCTGTGACAGTGCGGCCAGTCACCTGAATGAAGAGGAGGAAAGCTACAGAGGCAGCACTGATTACTACAGTGAACTGCCTCCCACCTCACAGCAGTGCGGTCCTGTGGTTAGCTTCTCATAGGACCAGCCCCACCCCATAACAGACCAACAGTCTTCACCCAAAGTTGGAGACAGCCTAATTCAACAGTGTGTCATGTGGTTTCTTTGTCTGCACTGAGATTTTTTCTATCTGCAAATTGCACAGGCAAAGAACCTGAACGGTGCACCCTCTGTCCTCCAGCACTTGGGCTTCAGATTTCCCCCACAAGGAGTATGGGAAAGCACCTTGATTTCTTTTTGCAGGATCTTCTGCTGGGCAGAGATGGCTTGGCAAAATCTCACCTGTGTGTAATTTTGTAATTGCTACCTGCAGATGAAAAGATTGGCTTTTTCTGACTTTGGAACAAAGCCCACACTGAGCAACTGGGCTTGGGGTTTAGGATTGAGCTGCAGAGGATGAGATAGTACAAAAAAGTTGCTTCCATAACCAGTGGTGTTGCACCCTGTGCAGTAAGAAGATTTCAGGTCCATTCCAGGACCAACTAATAGCCTTGCAATTGCAAAGGCGAAGGGCAAAGGACCTAGATAGAAAACAGCCCTGAATTGCCTTGGAAAGGATTGACCCAGGCAAGCAACCTGCTGAATCCTGGGTAGAAATGAAGTTAGATGGGAAAACAAGGAGCAAAGCAGATCTGTGCTTCTCTCACTCCTCCCAACTGTCCAACCCAAGGGAAAGATTGTAAACTTCAGCCCATTTCCAAATGAGGCAAAATTATCTTGGAGTTGTTGAGCCCACAAAGGGGCTACATTAAATGGTATACTCCTTCTGCCCAAACTCCAGTGTATACAGAACATTCACAATGTTGTGCAAATACCATATTTCGGCAAACTTTTTATCATTCCAAACTGAAACTATGTACCCACTAAAAAACAACTCCCTATTTCTACCCCTCCAGCCCCTGGTAACTTAATATATATCTGTCTTATGAATTTTCCTCATGTAAGTGGAATCATACAATATTATCCTCTTGTGTTTGGCTTATTTGACTTAGCATGATGTTTTCAAGGTTCATCCATGTTGTAGCATGCATAATAATTTTATTCCTTTTTAAGTCTGTGTATATTCCATTGCATGTTAAGAACTTGGATTTGAATGTCATTTTTAAGCTGCCATACCTGGAAAAAATCTTGTTAAGTTTGGTAACTGTATCTATGGTTTAGGCCATGTGGCATTGGGTTTTCCAAACTAATACATAAACACAACTTACAATTACCATTAGATGCCCCATGATGGGCAATAGGTGTGTGAGCTTTAATGTGGGTGTGGTGTGGAGGAATCTGGTGGCACGGAGGAGAAGGGAGCATGGCCCCATACCTCTAACAACTTAGGAAAGTTGGGCCATAAACTAGAGAAGCAGGAAAACAGAGCCTATCAGTGTCAGCTTTGAAGCCAGTCCAGGGGAAGGATGGTCAGATGCAGATGCCTTCAGCTGTGTTTCATGGATTAATTTACCATTTTAATCATTTTTTAAGTGTACAATTAAGCAGCATTAAGAATATTCTGGTGAAGTTCCAGGATGGGCCACAGTCACAGAGTGCTCAAAATGAAAGCTCCCTAGAATTTCTGCATGTGTGTTTATTTATATCTATGCATGTGCACATGGATACACAAACATGAAGAAGCACACACCTTTACCTCTTTTCAACCTTGGTTTAGCTATTTTGATATTCTCTTTTTATTTTTTAATTTTTCTATGTCAAAAGATGGCAAATTCAGCTATGAATTAAGGATATGATCCATCTAGAGGGAATTAAACATGCATGTAGGCAAAGGAAGGCAAAAGAAATCAAGTATCCTCTGTTTCCCAAAGACCTTAGGCATGCCAGGTCTTCTTCCAAGTTGCTACTTGATATTATCTTTTTATAATTGTTATTTTTTCTCTCTTTTTCCCCTTCTTTCATAGGGTATTGAATCTAGCAGTGTTCTTCCACTTATATCCCCAGCCTTTTTTATTTTGAGAAAGTCTAGATAAATTGCTAAGGCTGGCCTCAAACTCATGATATTCTTGCTTCAGTCTTCTGAGTAGCTACATTTTTTTTTTTCTTAAGTGCTGGGGATTGAACCTAGAGGTGCTCTACCACTGAGCTGCATCCTCAACCCTTTTTATTTATTTTGAGACAGGAACTCACTAAGTTGCTGAAGCTGGCCTCAAACTTGTGTTCCTCCTGCCTCCTGAGCACTGAGATTACAGGTGCATATCACTATGTCCAGCTCAATTTAATTTCAGCAATACAGTTATTTAGCATTAACATTTTGCTTCACTCTAACAAAATACCGAACTCCAAATTGGCTGAGACATTGTGCCTGGTGCTCTCTGGAGGAGTACAGATTGATGCTTCTCTTCAAAACACTTTTCCACAGTCTTTATTGGAGCTAGAAATAATCAAGTTCAGTCAAGGATAAAGGATAAAAAACATTTATTTAAAAAATACTATCCAGAATCAATTCCAGTTCAGCAGGCATAAAGGGTGGGTGGTTAATGTTTTATTATGATGTGAAATTTGAGATACAGGAAGCATTATTGCAAAAAAAAAGTTAATACTTATTAAAAAACTGAAAAAGAAAAGCGAGTAGTAAGCTACTGTAACAAAAAGAGACATTAAGGCTGAGAACATGTCACGACGCAATGAAAATAATCTCGTCCTTTAATATGCACTAATAGAACAGGAGGTCTGATTTACTCACATTTGGACTGTGGCTGGGAAGAGGTGAACTGCAAGAAGATGTGAGTAAGCCCAGTACCAGCAGGGGATACAGAAAACTGGGGATAAGGTGAAAGAAAAATTAGACAAAGAATGCCTTTGCTCAAGGGGCCCTATAAAAATGTATTTCCAGGGCTGGGGTTGTGTCTCAGAGATAGAGTGCTCACCCAGTATGCATAAGGCACTGGGTTCAATCCTCAGCACCACACAAAAATAAAACATATTGTGTCCACCTCTAATTAAAATATAAATATTCTAAAAGAAGTATTTAAAAAAATACTTGAGAAATATATGACTATGAAAGTTTAATGGACAGCACTAAAATGCTAAAAATATAAAAATACCCTTTATTGTAGGCATACACAATGCCTTCTGCAACTATGATAAAATACCTTGTGAAATTCTCTGTGCTTTGTTTCCTTTTTTTTCTTTTAAATATCTTTGCTTTATTTATTTATTTATTTATGTGGTGCTGAGGATCGAACCCAGTGCCTCACACATGTGAGGCAAGCACTCAACTACTGAGCTACAACACCAGCCCTGCTTATTCCCTTTTTTGCGGCCTAGTTTTTCACAACGAGGAGGGGACAAAAGCCTTTAGAGGCCATCAATCCAACTTTGATTTCACGGCTAAAGGAGAGTAAGTAACTTGTTCCCTGTCACATCCATCCTTAGTGGCAGAGATTGGGCCAGAATCATGTCTCCTGCCCGCCATGAATGCTTTTCTCATTTCATCCCCCATCTGCACTTGGTGGCACTCCCACAATCTCGGATGGGCAGAAGGGCTGTGAGGGAAAGGGATAGGTCTGTTTGGGGTCTCTTTGGCTTGTATGAGCATGAGGCATTACAAGCAGAAGTGATAAAACACATTTCTACTTCTCCCTTAAGCCTTTAAAAATAATCAGAAACACACACACACACACAGAGTCAGGTCACAGAGTAGAACACTGTAGGTGAAGAAAACTTCTAAAAGACTATTATAAGAGCGGTTATTGATTTTAAATGAGAATATCTCGCTAATCACACACAATCATGCTTTTCAGAAGCTCTGAAAATAAAACCCTGGTTACAGATGGTGACTAACATGGAGAGTCTGGGGCCAGGCACATCTCCAGAGTCCCTAACTGCCACACTATGGAGTCCTACCACCATTCCATGGAGTCTCTAAAGACCACACTGTCAAAAGGACTGTTAATCAGTGGTGGGAATTGCCTCCAAATATGCAAATTCCAGCAGAAAGAAAAAACACATTTGACTGTATTCTTTTTAAAAACCCTCCCATTCTCACATCTATTTCTGATTTCACATTCATCAGCACTCAACATTCTAAATGTTCTATTCTGGCAACCAGTATTTCTGGGTCTCAGTTCCTGGAATGCTTTCTTGAAACATTCACAAGTGCCTCAAAAGGAGGGTGGTCAGACTTCTTGGGGTCATTTTCTTTTATGTGTCTTTTGAGAACAAAATTCAGAGACTGAAGTGGTGTCACATTTTGAAAATATCTGTCATATGTGCTTTTGTTCAAGGCTCGATTCAAGGAATATGAAATGAGAATATCTTTTGTCATATCTGTGAACAAGGAAAACCATGAGAGGAAGGTTCTTGAGTTCACTGAAACATCAAAGAGTACCACAATTCTACAGATGATCCAGCAGAAATGTATGTTTCTTGTGCTCCACAGGTTTCTGTAAGGGCAGGCTCTTTTATTAAAACATTTCTCAGAAATTGCTTTCTCAAGAGAAGATTAATCATTTGGCTTACAACTAAACAGGAGCCCGCCATGTGTTCTGTGTTTCACCTCAGGCAATAAATTGTCTTTGTGCCAAATTCCTTGTCTCTCTCCATATAGTTTGTTGTGTCTTATATACAGACTCCTGAAAAATTCTTTCTACTTGTGTAGAAAAGCCACGACTTTCTTCCTCTAAGGCGTTGATGGTTTGCAGAGCAAAGGGAGTCCTTTCCCTGGGAAGGGGACTGTTCAGGGGCCGCATAGGTATGACAGAGTTGTATTTGTGCTGCCTGTTCACCGAATTCATTAGGGATGTATAGAACTGAAAATTACACCAGGTATCTCTTAAAAAGTTCTCAGTCAATAATAGGATTGTCCACGCAGACCCATTGACAGCATCATCTAAATTCTGTAAATGTGGTCGGCCACATGGCATCTCAGCAAAGATGATTCCAGGCTTGATACCAAAGTCATTTTGTAGCAGATTCTGGACCCGGAGGGCTTCGTCTGTGTCATCTTCTGCATGCAGTATCACAAATTTAAGGAACACCTCTTCTTCTGCTTCCACTTCAGGAATTTCTTCCCTCGCCTCAGCTCCTTCCTGCCCACCTATTTGCTCCTCTGTGGTATTGTTCTGCTCCACAACATCACCCAAGGAGATGTCTTCCAATTTCTTGGGCTCTGACTCACGATGGTCTTGACTTGTATAAACACTGTGGCTTTTACCCCAAGAGAGAGAAAAAGGGCAGATCCCTACTTTAGATTTCCCGATACCCATGATAAATGTCCAAGGTGGAAGAGGAAAGTTTTATTTACTTCTCAGCATTTCTTTGCAATCTAAAAGAAGAAACAACAAAGCAGAAGATTATTGTGAATTTAATTACAACATTAAAAATGAAAACTTTAGTTCAACCCCAAAATCTCAAAAAGGCTACAATAGTCAGAAAGAAATGGCAAACAGGTAATTGGGAAATTAAACTACTAGTCTTCTGAGAACTTTACAAGGCCTCCCAGAGGGAGTCCTTGGTGAGCTAAACAGAGGGTTCAGTTTAATATAGCAAGAGATATTTGGGAAATTTAAATGACATTATATTAGCATTATATTAACTTCCAGGTTAAAATAAAATTCTTTGGCATTTTAATGAAAAGCTAACATACTAGTCTACCAATATGGGGTCTAAATTCAATTTCTCCAACAAATTATTATATAGACTAGAAGCAGGAAAATATTTTAAAAACCAGAATATTCAAATATTAAATAAGAATTTATTTTTGTATAAAAATAAGCACAAATACCAAATAAGATGCAAATATCTTAAAGATGGATATCAGCAACTTTAATGATTCAGCCCAAAGAGAAAATATGAAACAGTGTCCACTTTTCACTTTTTTTTTTTTTTAATGTCTGGAGTCAGGCCTTATTGTTGTAGCAAAGCTGGTAGAGAAATTATAATTAGGAGGTGTGAGAAGTAAGGAACATATTTTTCCATCTAATCCTAGAAATACTGAAGAAAATTTATTTATTCACCTACAGTTAACATCTCAATAGGGAAACAAAATCTAGAAACCAAGACTTGTAATTTTCTTTAGTGAAATCAACAAAGACCAATGTAGTCTAAATTCATTACTTTATAATCAAAAATTCTAAATTTTGAGTGAAAAAATTAGATTAGTTGTGAAAGAAAAATACCCCAATGTGAAGTGTTGTTTAAATAACTCTACAGAAAATTGGCAAGGTTACTAGTGATTCCTGCCCCCCATAAGCAGTTCTTCTATCAAAAGATAGAAAGTTTAGAATGAATACAGGTTTCATTATTTTATAATATGAGCCACAGGCTATATTCCAAAACATTTTTATTAGTTATCTATGGGCAAAGTCCAGAGTTCAAAAAGGAAGTATAATTATATTCAGAATGACTTAAGTAACACAACTACATATACCTAAAATCATTCAGATTGAGAAGAAACTATTCAACAGAAGTAGTGAAACTGTTATGTTAAGAAAACATTAAAGAAAAAAAAACACAGCATTTCATTTTAATGTATATAAAGAGTAAAAGTGTTTGCTGCTGCCTCTGTCTAATAAAGGGATGAAAATTGCTGGCCACTGCCTGTCCACACTACATCTGTACTTCAGGATGTGGTTCTTTGGTATACAGTTCTAGTTACAAAGAGGTATTCTAAGACATAATAACTCTAAAATATGACAGCCATACATCTCAAATAATAAAACCAAATTAATTTGGGCTCTCTCCATTGGTTAGGATTTACTGGTGACTTCTGTTACTGCATTATGAAAAAGGTTCTACCATGCAAAACTGCAAAAGAAGCTTCCTCCGCATAAGAACACAATTGTTAAACCAATTGAGGCATCTATTTACCAGTGTAGTGCCAATTAAAATGATCTTTGCCTATCACTAGCCAGTGCAAAGTGATGCTCTTCATCAAGAAATATGTAACACTTCTAATATAAACTTGTATGCAAGCCAGATCACAAAATGATTTGAAATAAATTAAACAACAAGAATCATGAATTTGTCTTATTTTTCTTAAATTCTAGTCAGCATAAAAAGAAAAAAAAAAGACTTCAGAAATGTATAATGTGTTGTGCCAACTTGAAAGCACTCTCAGCTGCCTAGTCAGACCAGAGAAGAAAGTGACAACTTCTGAAAAATGCTGTAACCTTCTAATTTGGAGAGAGGGAATAAGGAGCCAGCCAACAGGAAGAGAAGTGTAAAGCTCTTTGCTAGAGATCCATGTTTGCCACCAGCACCATGACTCCTGTGACTGATGTGGGGAGATGGTAGGACTCATCACTGTGGTTCCTAGGGCTGGGAGAAAGGAGAGGACCGGACTGTCCCAGCTCTGAGCCAGCAACTTCATTAATAAAAAGGGCAGCAGAATAGAATAGACATTATGATTGCTGTATGTATATAGGTGACTCTATGACCAGTGTGATTCTGCAATCTGTACAATTAGAAAAATGAGAAATTATACCCCAATGAATTAAATGTATGAATTACCAAGATCATTGTAATGTCATGTGTAGCGAATAAAAAAAAAATAATAAAATAAAACAAATTAAAAAAAAAAAAAAAGAGGGCTTGCCCGGCGCAGTGGTGTGTGCCTGTAATTCCAGTGACCTGGGAAACTGAGGCAGGAGGATTGCAAGTTCAAGGCCAGCCTCAGCCACTTAGCGAGACCCTGAGCAACTTAGCCAGACCCTGTCTCAAAATAAAAGATAAAAGAGGATGGGGATATGCTCAGTGATTAAGCACCCCTGGGTTCAATCCCTGGTACCAAAACAAAAACAAAATAGGGATAACAGGAGTGAAAGAACAAGACAGCAAATGTGCTATGGCAAGCATGCAAAAAGATTGCAGGCAATTAAATAACAGGTAAAGGCATATCATAACATATAGAAGACAAATTCAAAACTCCTTTTCTATTAAAGCAATGCAGCCAGTTTACATAACAGCCTGCATGTAAATCCCAGCCCTGCTATGAAACAACTATGTATCTTATTGTACAAGCTACTCTATATCTTTGTGCTTTGATCTCATCATCTGTAAAATTATGATAATTACACTACCTATATTTAGGGTTTTTATGAAGAGCAAAACGGCTTAAAATGGCACATGGCACATAGTAAATGATCTCTAAATGTTAGCAGCTTTGTTATGAAATACATAACAAAGAAGCTGAAGAAAAAGTAACCAAATAAATATTTTTGTTCTATGACAGTGTTACTCAAAATGTTGTCCATGGACAAGCTGCCAGACTTTGGACTGTTATCAGTCTATAACAAGATAAGGAGACTATGCCTAGATTTAAATCAACTATATCAGTAAGCAAGCCACTTAGTTCAGCCTGTGCTTTTTTCATAGCAAGATACTCTCAGTGAAGGAAGAAACATGGTTTTCATTCTAGTGCATACTTCTTATGTTGTCAAGGACAAATATTTTGAGTGACATTGCTCTAGGAGACACTAAAGAGAACATGTAATCAATGAAACAAAGGTATCAGAGATGAGGTGAAAGAATGAGATGAAAAGAAAGACTAGACACATCAAGGACCCCAATACTATTAGGAAAAAATAGAAATAGAAAAGAATGAAATAAACACAACTCAAAGCCAAATCAGTTAAACATGGCAAAAAGGACTGAGAAAAACAACAAAGTATGAAAAGGAAAAAGACCATGAAAATAAAGAAGTCTGAACACAGATATAGCTATGGTGATAAAAATAACCAATATAAAGAAAACCAGTGCACCTGAAACAAAGAATTTAATGAATGTAACAAAAAGATCAAAAGACACAAGGATCCCCACCCTCACTTAAATGATCAGTCTTAGTGTTGCTGATATACTATGTGCCTCCTGATGAAATCTGATATGCCAAAAAAGTTGAACCTGACTCTAATCATTTCTTTAGCTATAATTGCTAGTTTACAGAAAGTAAAGAAGACAAGAAAAATGTTCTTAAAGAAGTGAATGAAGAAAAAAATGTGGTATATCCTTATCATGGAATACTACTTAGCAATAAAAAGGAATGAACTATTGAAATATACAATGACATAGATGAATTTCAGATCCGTATTTTATAACTCCATTTGAATCAAAATCCAGAGAATGCAAACTGATCTGTAAGACAGCATTTCTTTAGATCTGTTTAGGAGGCAGATTTATCACTCCACTTACTTCCCTCTTCTTTTTTTTTGGTGCTGGGGATTGAATTAGAAGCCTCACATGCTAAGTTCTACCTCCAGTCCCAGGTATCTAATCTTTGTATGATCTTCTTGAGAAACATTTTGTCCTTTATTTTTAAGAGTCTACTTTAATTATAGAGTTATGTTCTACTGTGGTTCTCCTGAATTCAAAAATTCTGACCGGCTCTCTCACGGAGCCTTAGTTCCATTGTATCAGCTCTGTTGAATGGAGTTTTATAATTTGAAATATGCTGAGGTTGGAAAATGCAAGCAAAGTTCTAAAGAGGTATACCATTTTTCTTAGGACTGAGAGAACAGCATGTAGCTTGATAGGTAACACTGAGAAGACACTGTCTGAACACTCAACAAATATTCACTCATCATCTACAAAGTTCTAGAAATTGAAGTTCAGGGAACATAAAAAACATCTTGCTCTTATAGTGTCAAAGTTTGGTGGGAAAGACAAATACTAAACTAAGAAATATGTTTGTTATACAACATATAAGTACATAAAGTATACATATACATGTGCATTTATTTATATACTACATGAAAAGGTGTGGAAAAATAAAGAAGAAAAGGTAGAACTGTTAGATGGATTTTGTTGTTGTTTAAAATAAACCTGTTGGGCAAGAAGGATGACATTTGAATAAAGACACCAATGAGGTAAAGAATTAATCTGTGCAGATATGTGGAGCAAGAACAGTCTAGGCAGAGAATCACATGCACAGAAGCCCTGAGGCTGGGAGTGTCTGGTGCTGAGGAGCAGTGGGGATCAAGTGAGCCAAGGACCCAGCAAAAGGAGATAAGTGAGAGGAGAAGCCAGGGGAGCATTTGAGCAGAGGGGTGACATGATCTGACTAGTTTCCCTAAGAGTCCCTCTGGTGGTTCACTGAGAATATAACAAAGAGAAGCAAGGACAGAAGCAGGGACACTAGTTGGGAGTCTGTTGCAGATACCCAATAGACAGTAGTGGTGGCTTAGGACAGGGTGGTACCAGAGGAACTGTGACAGGGGCTAAATTTGGAGTCTTTTTTACAAGTAGAATTGACATAATTTGCTGATGATGTTGGGCAGGCATTGAATATAGAGTCTGGAGTTTTGGAGAGAGGCGTAGCCAGGAGAAATA